TAGCTGTATGATCTTAAAAAAAAAAAAAATAAATAAGAACAAAAAAAAGTCAGCGAATTCTGCGCTAAATTCTTGAGACGCTTAAAAATAAACTTTTTGCTAGATTTTTGTCGCGCTTTAAAAAACCCGAGGAAAATATCGCTGTTTCTTTAGGCGACTTTCACTTGGTTATCCCATTGTTGTTGTTGTTGCTGYTGTCTAATTTATTGTTGTTGTGCTCTTTAATTTGTTTTCAGCACGCAAATTATGTGCGACAAGCAGCCGAGGACTATTTGGCCCGCCGACAGGCGCGCAACAAATCAATGACACGCTCCATGACTTCCGGCTTGGCCGGACCGATCCTCGCCCTGGGCAACGTCTACTATCTGCCCGCAGCCAAGAGCGGCACATTCTTTGCGCGCGACAATGTCTCCAATTTCATAACCTGGTGCAGGTGAGTCCAGCTAAAATATTCTAAGTTAATTGTAGTTCTAAGAAAACAAGTTTATATAAAAATATCTGTAGAATATTGTAGATCAGCAATCGATCAACATTTGAGCAAGTGATAAGTGATCCTTCAAGAGTATATATTCTTTTAAATCACTTGATAATTCAGAATTATAAGTTTTCAGCTGTTTCTAGCTTTGTGAACCATGATCACCAGTTGCTGATCATTAAAGACTCAGAAGAACAATATCTTAACTGCGCAAACACCGTTACCTGATCACCGTCACTACTCATTGATCAATGATCATTGTTAAGTGATGACTGTGCTATGCCTATTGATATCTACTGATCGCCCTCTAGCTGTTCACTGATTTTCACTGACTGATCACTGTTCCATGATATCGGATGAATGCCAGCAATCAACTGGTATCTCACTGCTAACTAATCACTTCTAAATGATCACTGATCATTTCCAACATCTTACTAATCGCTGATCACTCGTAAGGAATTACCCAACACTGATCATAGTTCACATATCACTTGCTGAGCTGCTACTACAAATCACTGCTAAATGTTAGCTGATCACTGCCCATTGCTGACTGATCACTGAATAGTCACTGCTAATTGATAAATATGCACTGATCACCGTCAACTTCTCAGTGCTCGCTGATCACGCTTAACTAATCCTGCATCATTGATCACCCAACACTGATCACAGTTAACATATCATCTGCTACTCTAAATCACTGCTAAATGTCAACTGTTATCTGATCACTGATCGTTTATCACTGATCTCTATTCACTGCCCCCTCTGAGTGATCACTGATCACTGTTTACTCCTGAATAATCACTGATCATTACTAACTGATCAGAGCTGATCACAGATCACTACCCTCTGCCAACTGATTGACAGTTGAGTCAATGGCAAGTGAAACGCACTGCTCAAACGTCGTTTGTCATTTTGCAGAAAGAGCCTGAAGATCATCGAGTGCCTATTGTTCGAAACGGACGATCTGATCATGCGCAAGAACGAGAAGCATGTGATACTCTGCCTGCTGGAGGTGGCCAGACGTGGCGCCAAGTTTGGTAAGTCTCAAAAGAAACATGATCAATGCTGATCGCTAGATATATATGGGTGTGTATGTCTATCGATAGGCATGCTAGCGCCGATGCTTGTGCAAATGGAGCGACAAATCGATCGCGAAATCGCGGCCGATAACAAAGCCAACGGCGTCGGCTGTGGCACACAGACAAACAACGGCTGCTCGGAGAGCGGCACTCAAACGGAGGCGCCACCTATCGGCGATGAGTGTGTGGCCAACGAGACGGATCTGTACGACAGCGATACAGAGAACGAGGATGAGAACGACAAGGATCCGATGCTGATGTACGGACCCCAGCCACAGATCATAACCAACGATCTGAAGAGCCTCGACGAGATGGTAAGTGCAGATCCGAATCCGCTAGCCCTAATTGCGACTACTGTTTGCAGTCAGCTGCCAACTTGCTTTTCCACACATTTCTCCTCAATAACTCCTCTAGCCATAAGTGTGAGTGTGTGTGTGTGTGGGTTCAGTGGGTCTATGTTTTCTCTTTTATTTATTTTTTTTTTTTTAGTCGCCGCGGACCTCACGACTTTTTGTTATTGTTGTGTTTTCATAGCTACTCTTCTCATGTCCATTTTTAGCCACGGCTAAGTTTCCAGTTTCAAACTTGGGCAAAACAAATCAAAAGCAGCCAACAGCAGCCCCAACAACAACAACAACAACAACAAAGAAAAACTATGCGAGTTGTCGAAACAAATGCAATGGATAATTGCTTTCGACGATTTTGCCGAAAAACGTATATGTACGTTGCCTAGCCAGCTATCCAAAAAGAAATAATCTAGTGCTTGCCCAGGCAAGTCGTGATCTTTGCTTCTCCCCAGAGCTCCAAACTTGAGCTCGACCAACTGTGTGCTCCACTAGCTCCACATAATACTGCTGCGAAATTCCCCAAATAGCATATGTTCGATCAGGCTTCTGATTGCAAAATATCAATGGATAGTTTGTGAATCAAGACGCCAATCGATATTTATCGATCGATAATAGCACCAGCTTAAAATGCTGTATCAGGCTTGAGCAAACAAAATATATTATATT